GATGGAATCGGGCAGAATGTGCGGAAAATAGGCACGCTTGCTTTGTGCGTCAATTACATTGGGGAGCGTTACTAACTAGAAGTAAACGAAAGGAAACGAGCTGGTTTGTGAAGACTAATGGAAGTTTGAATAACGATTCACAAAATTACATTTCACCCAGACTCTGTAATTAGGATTAATTATTTATTGCACATTACTAAACAGGCATACGTTTTAAAATTAGCATTTACTTGAACTAAAAAGAATATACACTATTTATACACACTGGTATTTTCTGTTTGGGGCGGGACGATTTTCCAAAGACACTGCCAAAGAACCAGTGTAAGACATGTAAAGCAACTAACATTTTATTTGCACGGCAATTCAGTTCCGCAAAGGCAGCCTTCTGTTGAGTTAGCTATTTGATGTTACTCTTATACTGCACAAAAAATGTTAACCATATCAATTCAATTTTCCTTTAAACTACATTTTCACGAGAGGAAATTCAATTACATAAACCCATAAACCATTCACGCAATTTTCGCTTACTGTCAGTTACAATAGTTTTCACACAGAAAACTAAATTCTACTTTATTCTCCACGTAAATACAGACTCAAACCATGAGAATTTTTCGTACACGAAATACCTCGATAACTGACATCACTTACACCCTACTTGCGCGACAGAACGAAAGGCGCGTTGAAAATTATCGAAGCCACTCACCGGAGTGAAGTTCTCAGAAGTGGAATTCACAAAAGTATTTAGGTACTCCTCCGACAGTCACTTGACAACCGGAAAGAGCAGTGGTGACGAGCGTGCGGTACGATGCGCGGGGGGAGGGGGGAGGGGGAAAGGTGGCGTGACCGTCTGAATCACTGGCGAAGCGCAAGTCGAAGAGCGCATTCCGCGCGTGGTTTCGGAGGGCGATTCGCGTGTATTCCCGGCGTGGCGCTCGCCCACGTTCCGGGTCTGTGAGTGCGGGCGGGCGGGCGCGAAAGCATGCAAAACCAGCAGCGGTGAGTCAGCGCGCAGGTGCACCGCGTTCAACGCGCCGTCCGAACAAAAGCCGCGCGCGCGCGCGTCCTCGACACTTGCGGATCGCTCGTCCTAAACGACGTGTTCGCACGGTGACCGCGCTGTAGCGGTGCAGCTCTTATACGAGCGCTTTTGAATGGGACCTGACATTTGCAAGGCTGTCGCGTCATGTTCAGCTGTGAAGATCGTAAGATCTAAAAATGTACAGCAACAGATTAGAATGTTACTGTGTAAGTCAATTAAAAACTAAGTCTTCATTTATTTTAAGGTTGATTGACGTTCACCAAAACTATACCGAAGTAGGGAATATTAAATAAATTTAAATAATGAAGAAAGTTTTTTGGTCACATAAGAGTAAGTTACAACCCGTACATGAACATTTCAAATGCATTATGTTGTTTTGGAGTTGATAGGTTCTGATCTATTGGTCCTCAAATGAAACATTATTAACAATATCTGCCTCCAACGGATACATATTAGGAATAATTATAAAATTTATTAACAAAGAGGAGCATGTGTTTAAAGTAAAAAACATTCATGCTCTTCCGAACGCGGGTTGAAGGAGAGGAAATATTTTTGAATAAATAGATCTAAGGCTGATAACACTATAATCGAGGATGTAAGTAATAAAAGCAAGGTATGACAATCCGGGCTCTCATCCCCAAAACGTATCCTCATAACGAATTGTTTCCTTCTGACCTTGCTTCAATTCATTATTCAAATCGGCAAATTTTTGCAAGCCTAGAATGTGACAGAGTTAATAAGAGAAATGACAAAAATCTAGATTATATTTAGCATAAAAAATAATAGTAGTCCCAGCTCGCACGTGGAGTGAAACTTCACCAACACACGACCACGCCGGCTTGCATTTACTGTCAATACCACACGGCGCAATCATACCACCAACATAACCTATATCACCCGCAACTCATTGGTTTGGATCTTTTCCGTTCAATTATAATTATTTTGAAGATGTAGCCAACAGTAACATTCCTGAACCGAACGTGTCTGTGAGGCATCTCTTACCACACAGTACCAGAGCGCAATCGATATCGCCGTAGAATCAACAGGTGGTCGGTCTCTCGCATGACGCGCGGCACCGCGTGGTGGACGGCGCGCGCGCGCACGCGTAGGAGACGGAAATTACAGGCGGCGCGCGCGCACGTGGACGTGGACGTATGAGAGGCGACTACGATAAATCCGAGCGCCCCCGTCGCGTTCATTCAATGCAGAGCGCCACCGCGGCGCTGCGCGGCGATCGGCGCTTTCCGGAGCACCTCGGCCGCGCCGGCGGCCGGCCGGAGGGGGCGAGTGGGGGCGGGGCACCTGGCGGCGTGGCTCCCCACGTGCAAACCTCCGCGCTCCTTATCTTATCGAGCGAGTTCTGATGAATCAATACATCCACTACGATGCTGGGCGGGAACTGTCACACACGAGGATAAACTAAGCGGGAAAACCGTACGCGATCGTAAATACGGAAGTTACTACAAAACAATTGCGATTACTGTTTTCTACGTGTATGTGCTTTTCTCCACGTGGTAAAGTCTCAATCATGGTTTATAAACATACACGGAAAGGCATGAAGTTTCGTAGTTTAGGACACAACAGCACTATGACAAAGCTATAAAATATTTTATCTCCTACGTAAGTGTACTGTGAACAGTTCTTAGTCACTGGAGGTCTCGTAAATGATGACGAATTCCTTTGCAATTTCCCTCTTCTAATTGTAATTCGAATCCCTTCACTGGACTTTTCCCTATTACTCTACCAACGGTCCGGTCTCCGAGTGGCATTTTTAAAATACCATGTATTTCCTCTAGAAGAAATGGTAATGGGTGAAACTCTTTCTTTTTGGTCAGTAAAAGGTTTATCGAGACCTTGTAGAGAAGTTTTCAAAAAATTACCTCACGCGAAGAACCTATTATGCATTGTCTTAGAATAACTGCGAATACGTCACCACCGCAAAAATTTAATTGAACAATAACAGTTTTTGATAAAATATTATATTAATTTGGATATATTTTCCTCATTAAAATGGAATAACTACAATAACATACAAGAAAAGCTGTGGAAAGGCATACGTTAACTTCTTACAAGATCTCGAACGGAATCAGGGCGCTAAGTGGAATAAACGAAAGGAGGAGTGAAGAAGGAACATGTGGATTACCAATACAAGAGGAATGCACAAAGAATATAATGCGAAAATTATAATTAAATGAAATGAACATAAAAACAATCAATAGGATCATAGGAGTTTTATAGGCCTGAAGCAAAACACTTCGTTATTGGTGTCCCCTGTTAAAATCACACTTGTTTTAAGCAGAAAATAAAACTAACGAAATCTGTACGGCCGTCCACAATGAGCGGCCGCAGGTTACAGAAAAGCAGGAGGGTACCGAAGGAACATTGTAATTCCCAGCTGATCATCGCTGAAAAGTTGTTTTTCATTACACAATTTCTCCAATGATTAGTTAGATTGGGACAGAATATGCAATAACCATCGGGTTATTTAATTTTAAGATTGAAACAAGTCGGAAGCTATTGGAATGGCTCGAATCATAATATGCGTTAAAAGGCCATGAAAAGAACGCTCAGTTTACGTGAACACACGGACGGACAGAAGACTAAGGATTAACTGTCTTTCAAGCTCTCAAGACTGACTTATTTGCAATCTGAATCTATGCAGAAGAAAATAAATTCACTAAACTGAAATACATCTACAAAACTTCAATTCCAATCACAGCAAAATGACAAGATTCCCAGACTCTTGCAGAGAATCCCAACACCTCTGCCTCCCGCATGCCTTCTTGGCTTTCCCCGAGCGTTGGCTACCCTGCGGAAGGGGCTCGCGTAGGGGCTCAGGGCTGGGCGGGGCGGGGCGGCGCGCCGCGGAGTGGCTCGCGAAAGCGCGGCGCGCGGCGCGGGCGAGGGCCGGCGCCGGCGGTCGGGTCGGTCCGCACATCGCATGGCATAGCGAGCGAGGCTAGGCTTCGCGGCGACGCGCGCGCGAGGGAATTGCCATCACATGGGGCGCGTTCCCGCGGGACGCTTCGGAATGCGCCTGAATAAACAAGCTATAAAGGAGAGCGCGGCGCGCATAGCAAGCGGCCGTCGCGGCGGCGGCGGCGGCGGCGGGCGAGGGCGGGGTGGGGTGGGGCGGGGCGGGCGGCGGCGGGGCGACCCCCCCAGGACAGGGACAAGGCCTGCGCACGTGGCAACGGGGTGACTTCTGCAGCCCCCCCCCCCCCCTAACGTTACACACACACTCGCCGATAACTCCCAACTCCCTCTAATCCTCAGAGAGGTACTCATTACATAGTGTATTGTTTATTATGGTTTAGGCCTGTTCACCTCTAGAAAATTGGGGCTCATTAGTTCTCATCAATTGGGTAAATGAGAGCGATAATTAAGAGATGAAAATGCAGGAGTAATGGTGCAAATAAAGAGGCAGGGGAAACGGAGAACTCGAGAAAACCTCTCGAGAGCTCTCGTTATCCATTACAAATTGCGCACACGTTCCCTGGGTATCGAACCTGAGACCTAGCGTAGAAGGAGTATGTGCTGGTCATTCCACCATGACTCCCCCCCCCCCCCGAATAAGCTGTTAATAATCAATTATATTTCTATGATTTCTGTGACGAATTCTGTATAAAAAGAATAATGCTATTCGTGATATCGACTTCAGAAGACTTTTCCATAACGCAAAATATTTCGTTCAATTTAAGTAATATGTCGACTTCACACGAGAGTAATCGTGAAGGTAAAGCATCTCATCGAGATGCGAGTTCCCAACGACAAAACAAAACCTTCGGGCATTCGGATAAGGAAGGCCGGAAAAGACGCCAGTAAAACAGGCACATGGTAAACGCCCAAGGCCGCGGAAGTTTCCGGCAACGCAGGAAAAGCGCAGCTGAAGGTTGCAACGGTTCAAGGAAGGCCGAATGCACTTCACGGCACGCGTATTTATGCTCAGATCCTCACTCACCTCGAGGACGTCCTGCGCCGTCTGCAGGTAGTCGCGCAGCATGGCCTCCTGGATGGCCCGCCACTCCAGGCGGGGTCTTCCAGTTGCGTGCATTCTGCAACAGGAACGAGGCTAAGTTTACAAAGAACTCTCCAATAAGTAAATTGTAAATCTTAATGGTAATCAAAACACCGCCCACAGAGGCATTGCTAATTAGTTTTAATTATTCCTGTCAGGATTTATTCAGCACGCGAAATCGAATTGAACATACTTCATTAATAATGTTCTTTTGACAGTAACACAAAAACAGATTTTAGTTATTCACAAGCTTTACAGTAACATTTTTAAAGTAATTTATAGAATTCTTGAAAATCATAAAACCACAAATACACAATACATCACATTGCACACCCTCGTAACAAACCTTAACTCGAAAACAAAAAACGAAATAGAAAAACAACGCGAGCAGAAAGGCGGCATGGGCCGCGGTGGGGTCAACCAAGAGCTCTTCCTTATTCCACGTTCGAGTAATTCTCGCGCGACTTTCGCCAACCGTGCGCCCACGCCCCCGAGTGTCGGCTGCTGGGCGTGAAGGAAGGGGGTGGGGTGGGGGAGGGGCGCTGGCGAAGGCCAAGGCCCTGCGGCTGAGGGGCGGGGCAGCGAGCGCTGTCCCGCGGTCGGACAATCGACCGAGCTGAGATGCTATCGCGGGGCGGGCGGGTGGGCGAATGATCATCGCCCGCGGGCGATGGGAAGGGGGGCTATCTGCACTTGACGCCCACTGGCGCGTGGGAGGACGTTTGTGAAGTAGTGCGTTCGGTGAGACAACACGACTCGCAATCGGAAGGAACGACGTCGCTGTGACGTACCTTTGCGGCTGGGGGATTATTCTCGGAGTCAGCAACCATAGGCAAAAAGGATTTAATTGGAGGTGCACATATCATGCGTAACATATTAGGTGTTCACGTATCTGACAGAAAAAAAATTTAATGTGCTTTAATGGATAGTATACGTATGTTACTTCGAATTATGGAACTGAAAAATTATAGGAATTATACTATCCACTGAAAATACACACGGGCGAACATGGAGTTTACGGAAGGTTTGAAAGTCTACATTGCGCGGTTTTTTCATTTGAAGTTATCGCATTCCTTTCCTTCTAGTATTAAAAGTGAAACCGAGCTCTACACGCGCTTCTACGAAATGAATGGAAGTTATTTCGTCGGATTTCACCTCTGGAATCTAGTACATATCTGAAAGAACCAGGCAAAGACATAGACGGACTTCCAAATGTATGCACAACGGTAACCACTTTCGTTGGCTGACAATAACGTCCTTTCTCTCCATTCACTTTAGCCAGCACAAAAGCAAAATGTCAACCTAGGAACTGTTACAATAAATTGTGGACAGTTAAACATAACATCGAAGAGAGAACTCTTAGAAAAGTGGCCGAAACGCAATTAAGGAGGGGTTACGCACTTTTCACATGATGCTGAAAACGTAGAAGAGAGAAAAGAAAAAAACAGAAAAAATAAAAATAAAATAAAAAAGCAATAGTCAGATTTTCAGATATTCTTCAAAACATTTTTATTATAGTTTCTCACACTCAGTGTGTCCATCAAAAAAGGCATATTGGAAAAATAACAATTCATTTCACTGAATTAATGAATATCCCAAAGGTCTTGTTCAATATATACATATGTAAAATTTCAGTCTACAAAAAGAGGCATTTTGTTGCATTGCAACACTCACACCAACACACACACACACACGCACACGCACACGCACGCACGAGCAAGCATACACGCGAACAATTTAAACACAACAAAAGAATATGAAGCTCCATAGATCGTTAATCATAGCATCGTTACACATCGACTCGTCTCGTTTCGATTCACGAAACTTTCGCTTCTCCAACTGAGAACATTAGTAAGGATGTATAAGTAAACGAGCTTGATTTCGCGGCCAGGTTTGATCGTGGATCAACTGATATGATTAGTTCTCTACTAATTTCTGAGCTTACGCAAACTTCTTTATGAATTGGGGCAGGTGATCATGGAGTTGGTTTACTTTTGTTTTTCACGGTACGATTGCCTCTAGGGTGCCACAGGGCGAAAAACGCATAAATTATAAATGGGATGTTATTGATACATAGTGGAAGGGCAAGGCATCCAAAACACCTTAGCCTTCCGCGAAAGTAACACACATCTTTCGGTTCCCCGTACACGGGCACAGCTCGAAGGCCCTGTGCCACCTACGCTGGTACGTTTGTTGCGAAGGTGACTCTAGCTGTTAAATGAATATTTCTTTCACCGCTATTTTCGTGATGTATCAGGCGTCATATAGCCTCAGGAGGGAGGCATCCTCCTCTTCCCCCCCCCCACGAAGGCACACGCTAGCAGTCGCAGATGAGGCGGAGAGAGGATGGATGCGCGGATGGTGTCGGGGAGCGGGAGGCGAAGGCGCTGGCGTGGGCGTGGGCGGAGGCACGCGGCGTGAGAAGCGGGGCGCTGGAATGCAGGGGCCCCGCGGAGCAGCTCGCGTGGGGGAGCGCACGCGCGTGCTCTCCGCCGCGGCCCGGCCGAGCGCACGCGTGCCGGCACGCGCGCAGCGGTATGCAGCGGCGCGCTCGTTATCGCGCGTATCACCGGCAGCCGCGTCGAAAGCCGCGACAACGCGAGCGCGCGCACACACAAGCGGCCAACGTACAGTCTCCCGCACATCTCTACTAATAACTCTTAAGTTCAGAGAAGCAAACACCGAAAGCGCAGTTGTCAATTTAGCTTCTTTACAGATTTAATAGAGTACAGATCAGAGCGAACATTAGTAAATTATTCTTATTAAACAAAAACTAACTTAAAATAAAGAAGAGACAGCAATATTACCAAACCCTCTTTAATAAGACAGGTTCTGAAATGACATCCATGCACTCCCATAAGCTCATTGAATTCAATATCCAAATACAACAGAAAGCGGCTACATTTCGTTGTCGCTACACATAAAAGGTGATAAAAGTTTACACAAGGTCGATTTAAGATTAATAGGTTAATGAAAAATCACGCTATTTTTAACAAACAGAAGCCAACTTTCTTCAAACGAAAACCAATTGACGTAATGTTCAAGTTAATTATTTCGTAAACTGAAACTTTAATGGAGCCAACGAATCCCCGGGACAGCAGCCCCGTCTCCGCGAGCAGAAAGCGCGGCTCATCCAGCAGGGGCCTCCATTGACCGGAGAGCTGCGCTCCCCCGCCGCCACGCGGTCGCTGCTCGCTACCCGCCACTGTCAGTTGCTCCGTTATAGGGCGGGGACGCCCGCCGCCCGCCCGCCCATCCGCCTCCGCTGTCGAGCCGTTCCGGGACGCCGGAGGCTCCGGAGACACGCGCCTCCTCCACACCTCCTCTCCTCTCTCTTTCTCTCGCTCGTTGCAGACACCACGCCGCCGCCGCCCCGCGAGGGCGAGGTACGGCGTGATGGGGGCGGGGTGGCGAGTCACGCGCAGGCACGAGCGCGCACCACGCCGGAAGAAGTCGCAGTCGCCGCCGCCGCAGGCCCCACCCATGCCTGAGCTCGACAAGACACGTCACTTCGCGTCGCGTTTGGTTATTTTATGTATCAGGAGGGGGCATCAAACTGCTATGCCCATTAGGGCCGGAAGTGTCATGCATGTTATATTGCGCACGATGGCGGCGTTCCTCCGCAGTGATTTGGAGGGAGGAGTTCCCATCACATGCAATTATATATAATGTATATTCGTAAACTGAAATATTAATGGTGCCAACGCACGTGTAATACGTAACATGTAATATGTAAGTTGTGCATGTATGCATTTGTGAATGAGTTCGGGAAGAAGAGGCAAGGTTAAGAAAGAAAAGGATTGCGCGCGGATCGTGGCCCGTTTGTTAAAGCACTATTTCCGCTTCCGACAGGTATTGATCGAAGCAACAACGTTAAAATACCGACCAGATCAACCGGCAGCCAGTTCTCCTTCCGTATCGCCGCGTCGGGCGGCGGCCTCTGGACTTCACCTTCGCGGGCGAAGTGCGGGTGGCGACGCACGGACGCCTCTACTCGCGAGTGGGTCAAAGTGCGTCGGCAGATTTGCGCGCGGAGAAGTGAAAAAGGACAATTTACACATACATTTTTTATTCCCTCTTAATTTATTTCTTTGCTCCGAGATGACGTCGATCGTATAAAAGAGAGCTCCAAGAATAAGCACTTCACGACCGAAAAGAACTGAATGTGTTTAGAAGATTGCTTGTTCAAATGTTTAATTTGTGACCAGAAATGGGCAGAACAGTTTCCTTGCACAAACTTCAATTGGAGCAATGGGGATAACTAATATAAAGCGGGGCGGCACACGGAATCGGTTTGATATCAGTTTACGATATCAAATGGTCTCTAATGGGTCTGTAAATTAGAGACACCTTCCACACTTGCGGTGATGCACGCTTTGGGCAATACGTTCCTCGCAATGTTACATAATTCACGAACGTCGTGTTAATAAGGAGTACCTGTTCAATTGCCACTGTATTGTCTTCGAAGAACTGTAATTTTTAATCCCAGATTTTATATTTGAGCGCGGTGCTCAAATGCCAAGCGTCGTTGCTCAAATCCGGGAGAAATCGCATTTCTACGTTAACGAGGAGAGATTATGTACAGCAGGAAAGTGTTTATCTCCAATGATTGAAGAGTGTGAAAACCCATTGTAGACGTTCATACCGGTTGAATCAGCCTTATCTCCAAGCTTTACACATGTTTCATCTAATAACTCAGGTTATTTACGAGCGCATGTTCATTTACCATATACATTAAACCGGCTACAATTAACAAGTTTCCAAAAACCACGCACTGAGGCAGCGTGAAGTGGGCGTAATCTCCTTAAGAGCCGTTAAGAGCCTTTACAGAACGCGGCGCGAGTAAACAGGCGTCCGGAATCCTAAAAGGAAACCCACCCATTGGAATGTGAAGTTCGTTTGTCTAATCTCTCATATTTTACGCCACGCATTCCATCCGGGCGCCCGCGCCCCCACGCGCGGCGACGACTTCGGGGAACGCGTCGCGAACGAACCTAAGCATGCGTGCACGCATGCATATGCGTGAGAGCACGAAAA